AAGCATATGGCAGTGGGACATATATCTTAGGCTCACTGCTAAAGAAAGGAGTTCAAAAATAACTGTTCCTGGATTCCAACCTCCTATTTGAAGGAAAAGAGATGTTGAATTCCTGAGGGAGTCTGATCTCAGACTCTAGTTGACTACTCTAGAATGAAGATTTCCCAAGAAGCACCAGTTGTGAGAGATGTTTCATTGGTAATCAATTAATAGTTTTTGAGTTTGAGAGTTCAAGCACTAGACATCCTAATGAAATAAGAGTTCTTTCCATACCCCCTCCTTATAAAAGAAAAAGTCAGTCCAGTGTGGTTCTTGCATAATATCCTACTTGTATAGCAAAACTACTGAGTTAGTTGGACAATGCAGGTCTGGTATGAAGGTAACCTGCTTACTCAGCAAGCTCCAAAACTTATTTACCTTTTGGAGGGATTCCTAAATTTGAGGAAGGGCATCTAAGTGGTGCAGCAGATGGACCTCTGGTCCTAGAGTCAGGAAGACTTATTTCACTGAGTTCAAATCTGGCCTCATATACTTACTAGCTGTGTGACTCTGAGCAAGTCACTTAACCCTACTTGCCTCAGTCTCTTCATCTGTAAAATGAGCCGGAGAAGAAAATGGCAAACCACTCCAGTATCTTTGCCAAGAAAACCCCAATTGGGGTCAAAAAGAGTCAGACATGATGGAAAACAGCTGGGCAATTAAACTTGAGGAAACTGTAGGACTTTTTAGGAAAAGACTTATTGGAATGACAGTTTCCATGACAGTAACCCCAAATTTTATTTCCTTCTGAGGGAAGCTGTTCAACTATTTGGATTTTTTATGCCTCTGGATTTGTTCATGGGCTCCTGTGAGTCCTTACTTAGCATCTTTGCATGTCCTCTTACAAGAGAATGTAAGCTCTTACAAGGTAGGGATACTTTTGTCTTTGTATCACAGTGCTTAGCACAATCGTGGGTGTTTAATAAATGCTTATAACCTAAAAAAGTCTTGGACCTGGAATAAAATTTGACTTTGGGCAAGTCAACTCTCTCTCAGCCTCAGTTTCTTCACCTATAAAATGAGAGAATCGGGCTACACGAACTCTAAGATCTCTTCCACTATAAATCTATGATACTAAGAATATAGAGTGAAAACCAAGCTTCCCAACAAATTTTAGACTATCTCTCCCTTGGTTTTAGTTTCTCCAAAAATTTCCTTGTCCAAGGGAGCTCCTGCTTCATGGGCATTTCCCTGATGGAGGTCTTTTTAGAGTATATAACTAGGGTAGGATAACTTCTCCCAAACAGACTGGGCACTTACAATGATCCCAAGTCACTAATCAGGAGTTATGAATGGTAGGTCACTATTGCTCTCTCCCTAACCTTATAAAAATAAAGAAAATTCAGGTTACACCACAGATTCCAAAATGATCACTTGCCTTTTGGAATAAATAATCCTAATTTGGGGGGTGACCACGGGAGTTTTCATCAAATTTTTGAGCTGTAAAGCACTCTAGTGGTCACAAATTCCAACCCCTTCACTTTATTGATGGGGAAACTGAGGTCCAGAAAGGTCATGCAGATTAAAAACATTCAGGGAAGGATTAACAGTAACTCACATTTTCATAGAACTTTGATATTTTCAAAGTATTTTTCTCATAACAACCGAGGTAGGTAAAATTTTTCACTACCTTTGACTTAAAGCAATAGTTGTCCAACCAGTGCCTCGTGGGCCAAATCTGGCCTTCAGCCAGTTTTTGTATAATGCAACCAAGAGTCAATTTTATATTTTAAAATAAATTGTTTTAAAATTGAACAATAAAAATTATTTTTATCAATGTAAGAATCATTATTAACTCCAGGAAACACCAGGTCATGGGCCATAGGAAGAGGAAGAAATTAAGACTCAGAGAAGTTAAGTGATTTGCCCATAGTCATACCCTGTATATTTAAGTCCAGGAGTCTGCACTGCATTGCAGGTCTCCTCATGATCTAACATTCTTTTCACTGTAGAATATCTCACTAGAAAAAGGTTTTTTTTAATTGTGAAGAAAAGCTAGCCCAGTAAATTTATATTCCTGGTTAATGAAACAAATGACATTCAGAACTTTGTTGCCTTTACCAGGATCAGGTCTCTACTGTGTAACTTTTGGCAGACACATAAGCCTCAGATCTCTCTTTGTACTATCAATCAGTCCAAGTGGCCCCTTCCAAACTGAGTGCAATGCTAAGCATCATCTCTTGTAAGGTTGCTGGTCTCTGAGCTAGGCCTAATCAAAATGCCATATTGTATTATACAGGGTGTCCCAAAAGTCTTAGTGCTATTCTAAGCTTTAGGAGCTTAAAAATTCCACCAAGAGTTTTGGTTTACCCTGTATTTAAGGATTAAATTAAGATGTTCTTAAAGACTGACATGGAAAACAAACCTCCATTAAAACCCCTCAAGGTATAGCAATAGACCATGGAATTATAGATTCAGACCTAGAAAGAACCAGAGACATAACAGAGTCCAATCCCCTCATTTTACAGATTTAGTAACTGAGGCCAAGGAAGGTTCAATAATTTGCCCATGGTCACAACACTGCTGGTAAAGGTCTGAGTCAGATTTTGAAACCAGACCTTCTTGACTGTAAGTTGCATACTCTTTCGCTACATCACCAGACCAAATCATGGTGAGGAGGTGTCCAAACTAAATATCAATGTGTCTTTTCATTCTCTCTTTCATCAAGTTCAACTCCTTCATCCCTGAAATGCCAGTAAGATTGTTAAGCATTTTTTCCCCTCTTCAGACTGGTGTTTTTGTTGACCATCTAAGTAAGTATATGAGTTTTCTTTTAAAAAAAATATATTCCACTTCCTTTGTTATGTGAAGAGAGTTTGTTTATTATTTTGGAGCAGATGAGGACATCGGGTTTTCTGTAGCCTTCTAGTAGATTTATGGAGGATCCTGGAGTATTTTTAGTGCCTTTTCCCTACTCTGAGCTCTTCTGCCTTCTATGCCCAGGAACAAGCAAAGGCAGCCCATAGCATAGATGTCACTCTAACATTTTGTACCAAATGTAGCTTTTTCTGTTATCTTTCTCTACTCTGTTTCTCCCATTCCCATTTTTTCTTTCCTTTCTTGTATTATAAGAGAAGATAGTAATATAATACATAACCTCCATAAACCCAACGACTTTAACTACTGGGGTGAAGGCTCACTTTTCAATAAAAACTACTGAGAAAACTGATAAACTGTCTGGCAGAAATTAGATTAAGACAAACACTTCACACCACATGGAGCTCTAAATGGATACATGACCTAGATATAAAAAGTCGCATCATAAACATATGAGAAGACCAAGAAAGAAATCACATTTTAAAGCTATGAATGGGGGAATAGTTCATGGCCAGACAAGGTATAGAGAGGATCACAGAAGGTAAAATGGATAATTTTGATTACATAAAATTAAAGCAATTAAAATGAGAAGGGAAATAGTTAACTGGGAAAAAATCTTTGAGCAAATTTCTATAATATCAAAGATACATAAAGAACTGATTCAAATGTATAAGAACACCAGTCATTCTTTAGTAGGTCAGTGGCCAAAGAATGTGAACAGGCAGTTCTCAAAGGAAGAAATCTAAGCTATCAATAATTACATAAAATTATCTAAGTCATTAATAATTAAGGAAATACAAATTAAAACAACTCTTGGGTTCCATTTCAAACTATCAGATTGGTATAAATGACAGAGTTATAGGAAGACAGACACACTGATGCACTGTTGGAGTTGTGACTTGGTCTAGCCATTTTGAAAAACAATTTCAAATTATGCCCACAAAGTCATGAAACCACACATAACCTTTGACCCAGACATATCACTACTAGGCCTATATTCCAAAGAAAACAAAGAAAGAGGTAAAGGACTCATTTATTAAAAAATATTTATGATAGCCCTTTTTGTAATGACAAAGAAATGGAGAGGGTGCCCAGCAAGTGGGGAATGGCTGAACAAATTATGGCATATGAACATAAAGGAATATAATCATAAGAAATTAGAAAAGGGACTGTTTCAGAGAAATTTGGGAAGACTCATATAAGCTGATGATTGAGAGTGAACTGAACTGAACCAGGAGAGCAATTTATACTATAACAGTATTGTAAAGAAAAATCTCTGAAAGACTTCAGAATTCTGCTCAATGCATTGCAGACACCCACAACTCCAAAGGACTGTGGATGAAGCATACTATCCAGCTCCTGATAGAGGGGTGATGGACTCTAGAGGAAGAAAGAGAAATGCATTTGTGGATATGAAAAATGTCTGGATTTATTTTGTTTAATTATTCTCATTTGTTAAAGGATTATGCTTTTTTTTTCTTTTTTAAGCTTTTGGAGGACAGGGAATTTGGGAGGGACAGGGAAGCTAGGATAGAATTGCCCTCCCCCCAAAAAAAGAAGAACCATTGAAATCATTTTTTTTAAATGCACAGAATAGAACAAAAGGAAGTTCAGAAGGAAATATAGACAAACAGGACGGCTTTGATGATAACATGCTGAATTTATTATGTACTTTTTAATTTTTTCTTTCATTTTTAGGCAATTGGGGCTAAGCGACTTGCCCAAGGTCACACAGCTAGTAAGTGTCAAGTGTCTAGTGTGAGGCCAGATTTGAACTTAGGTCTTCCTGACTTCAGGGCCGGTACTCTATCCATCGCACCACCTAGCTGCCCCCTATTATGTACTTTTTAAAAGCAAACTGAATATAATAGAAATTCTTAGCTTCACAAAAAGGCCTCCTTTTCTGTTCTACTTTGTATATGGAATGTTAATTTGTGGAGGTATTCATTAAGTTCAGAATTTTAAAACAAAGCTTAAAAGGCAATTATTTTCTTCTAATCATTTTACTTCCTGCCATTTAGCAGCAAATTCTCCTAAATGAGTGATTTTTATGGTAAATCAGAAGACACACACTAGAAAAGGAAAAAGAAAGCTCACACACAAAATTTACATATCCAAGCAGAATTTATTGAAAGTTACTCACTATAATCAACTAAGACCCTCAGAGGGGCTGGATATGGATGATGCTGCCAATCTTCAATTCTGTGTCTCAAGGTGAACCTCCACTAATGGGGTGACTATTAGCTAGCCGGGTCAAAATTACCTGGCAGTATGGCACAGCAGCAAAGACCACTTTCCACCTTTCCCTTTTCACACAGAAAAGGTTTCATCTCCGATATGTGCCAGTGATATTTCACCAGTTTTCCCTACTTCCCAGGGTCTCCAGGGTGGATCAAGCTATTAATATCATCTCCAGATCTACATTTCAGGGTCTTTGATTCCTATAATTTGTGGAGGGGTCAGAAGGAAGGAGAAAAGAAGCAGGGAGAGAATCTGGATCACCCAATGGCCAACTTGCAAATATAGTTTGTCTTTTCCTGTGGCCTTGGTTGGGCTTGACATAGGTAACTATTATAAAGGTCTTCCTTGCAAAACAAAGAAGGAAAATGCCATTAAGTTTGTTGATCACCTGAATTTCTGACAATTTCATTCTCCTGATCCAGTCTGCAGACTCTTAAAACATGCCACAGATTGTTAACCAGTCAGTGGTTAGGTTAACATTTATTCAGAGCTTTTGCTTGGTATTTCACATATCAGAATCTCTTACATTAATTAGATGAACCAGCAGGAAATTTACCAGGGGATAGAATAGGACCTATAATAGAATAGAGAAAGATTATTGTCTCCTAAGTTCTGGACACTACATTTCTATCAATGCAGCCAAATATGTGTGTGTATGTATGTATGTATATAAATATATATATATATATACACACACATATATGTGTGTGTGTATGAATGTGTATATGTATATGTGTGTATATATATGCATACACATACATATATACACATATACACACATATGTGTATGTGTGTGTGTGTGTGTGTGTGTATGTATATATATATATATATATATATACATTTTTTAAAAACTCATGCTATTCATGGGACTTGGAGTTATAAGGGACCTTGCTGGTCATCTAGTTCAGTTTCCTCATTTTATAGAAGAAGAATCTCAGGCCTGGATTATATGTGTACAAGATCATGTAGGCTGTAAGTATCAGAGTCCCATGAATAATAGTATGACAAGGTGTTACGCAAAGGTTCAACAATTAATTTCACAAATACAGAACTAGATGATAAAATTAGAAGAAAAGAACTTGAGGGTTCTAGGCTTACAAACTGGTTCTATCCTCTATTGTTCACTCCACCACCACCCTATCCCCTCTGCCATAGCCAATCAATCTTCAAATCCTGTCATTTCTACCTTGATAACAAGAGAGAGTTCCAGATCTCACCCAAAGGGCAATTCCCTGAAGTCTCTAGTATAGCATCTGGGGATAGGGATGTGATGAAGACTGCCAACTCCTCTCAGGTTGGCTTCTTCCCAGAGTATTAATCTCCCTTTGGCAATCTAAAGTGGGGTTGGTATGGTCCAGCTTTTCTCTCAAAGCTGGAAGCCAGAAGCATAATTGCAGATCCCTAACCTCAAGATTGTCTTCACTGTAATGGGAGAAACAACACAAAAAAAGACTTAAAAATTAGAAGTATGGCCTGAGTTGGCACTCTCTCAAAATGGAGGTTCCAGAGGTTCCAATTAGAGGAAGGGAAGTTAGTAGAGGAAAGATCTTCCCAGGCGAGAAGACTAAAGGGGTGGAGGCATGTTTCAGCATAAGAAAGCTGATGCAACATGGTGAAGAAGTCAAGAGAGTTAGGATCAGAGCCAGGAAAGCAGGACAGAGAAGGTAAGAAATAAGTCCCAAGGAATTCTAAATCACAGACATCAAAAAGATGTTCTGCTTTCCACATTAATCCACCTGGGAACTATTCTGTGATATAACTCTATCTCACCTGTGCAAAGTGGTTTCTTTTCCTTTTTTGATAGGGTTATTAAACTGGTTAAGTAGGGGGAATGTTGGGAGCTGCATTGTAGCCTGTCAATAATAGTAGATCTCAATTCCAGTACATGTTTAGGGAAAATGGAGAAATGTGGGCTAGGTAGCATAGTCAAATGGTTCAATAGTTAGCTGAATGTGAATTAATGAGTCAATACTCTTCATTCATTTAAACATTTATTGAGCTCCTAATGCATTCATTATGCTAGGCATTTAGGGTCTTCTCCCTGCTATTCAGGTGTTTACATTCCAAAAGTAGAGGACAGAGAGACTGTCTTCAGAGTCAAGAAGGCCTGAAGCTCAAATACTGAACTCTTAAGATAATATTTCTGATGTTAAGGAGGAAAAGTACTAAAAGCAGACTTGTTGATTTATTGGTATTCATTTATTTGAAACCAAAAGGTTGTCTTACTGTTTCTAAGACATTTTGAGAACTTGCACAGCATCCTTATGACCCAGGTTAAGTCAGGTCACCTCTTTGGGCCCACGTTTCCTCATCTGTAAAATATGGAAGTTCAACTATGTGGCTTTGTACATTGCATCAAGCTCCAAATTTCATTTCATTGACTGTGTGACTAAACTTCTCAGTACTCTGGATATTACTCTAAGATATAAATTGAGAGCCAGTTCTGATCGTTGTCAGGAGGGAAGTTCCTTAATGGGGTCCCCTAAACCATTGAAATCACACGTCCTATCCAAAATGTGCTAGGGATTGGGGATCCAAAGGCAAAAATGAAGCACTCCACTCCCTCAAAGAGCTTACAATCTACAGGAAGTGACCACATGTTCACATAGAAGTATATACAAGATAAATATCTACAAATTAATCTGCTAGCAGCTGGAAAATAGCAGATGTTACTTTGATCAGCAAGATGTCACCTTTAATCATTTCATTTCCTCTCTACCCTACCTAGCAGCTGGTAGAGTCAGGAAAGGCCATATATAGGAAGGAAGTAGCATTAGAGCTGAGGAAAGAAAAGATGTGGTATTGTAACCAATACCATAAATTGAGTCAAAAGAAGAAAGAAAAAAAGGAAGGCTAAAAAGCCCACATGAGGGGAGGGGCATTGATCTTTACCAACAAGGAAAGAGTCCCATAACAATGAGAATTGACCTCTACCATAAGGAGAGAATCCCATATCAATGGGCTTTGGGACTGGGGTTATAGTATATTGACCAATAAATATATTGCAGAGGATTGTAATAGGTGTGTAAAAAGAGACATAAAATGTAATCAGACTATCTCAGGCTGGAAAGATATCTCTAGTGAGATATCTGATATGTACTATACATGTAGTACACCTGTGTGGAATATGTGTGTAGTATATATACATGGCACTGTGTAGTATGTATCTGTGTGTATGTATACATGTTGTCTTTGTGTGTATATATACATATATATATATGAAGTGTGTGTGTGTATACTTCAGAACTCTGTATATAAGGAACAAGTTCCTAACCTTTGGACTGCCTCTCAAACTACCAAGAGCTTCTCACTGGTAGTGTACAAATAAAAGTTGACTATAGTAAGAGAGATTTATGAATTAGGAGGGAGATCACCCTTAAGACCCTGACACATCCAGGATGAGCTATTCTGATAGTGCTTTATGTCTCTCTTACACAATTATTTCAATACTCTACAGTATATTTATTAAGGGGCAGCTAGGTGGTACAGTGGGTAGATCAGTGATCCTGAAGTCAGGAGGACCTGAATTCAAATCCAGCCTCAGACACTTACTAGCTGTGTGACTCTGGGCAAGCCACTTAACTCCATTTCCTCCCCAAAACAAACAAACAAAAAACACATAAAGTTGATCAACATACTGTAAGTCTAGTCCCAAAGTCCATTGGTATGGTACTCTCCCCTTATTGGTAAAGATCAATGCCCAGGCCCTCAGGCAGGCTTTTGGCCTGGGGTTATAATGCCATATCTTTCCAGGCTTCTGTTGCCATACTCAGTAAATTCCAATGGATCCCTATTACCTGCAGGATCAAATATCAAATCCTCTGCGTGGCATTTGAAGCACTTTACAACCTGGACTCCTCCCACCTTTCCAGTCTTCTTACACCTTTCTCTTTGCCTCCCTCCCACCACCACATTGCATCTCCTATCTCCAGGCATTTTCACTGGCTGTCTCACAAAGTTTGGCACATCGTGATTCATTTTAATTCAGTAAGCATTTATCGAGTGTCTACTACGTGCAAGGCCAAAGACCTTTGAATGAAACTGTTCTTGCCCTCAAAGAGCTTACGTTTCTCTGGGCATTCCATGTCTGGAATGCTCTCCCTCCTTATCTCTGGCTCTGGCTTCCCTGGCTTCCTTCAAGTCCTAACTAAAATTCCATCTTCTACAGGAAGCCTAAGTCCTAAGTCCTCTTAATTCTAGTGCATTCCCTCTGCTAATTATTTTCTATTTATTCTGTATATATCTTGCTCTGTATATATTTGTTTGTTTGTTGTCTCCCCACCCCCTAAATTGTAAGCTCCTTGAAGGCAGGGACTGCCTTTTGCCTCTTTTTGTACCCCTAGCACTTAGCACAGTGCCTGGCATGTAGTAGGTGCTTAATAAATGTTTATTGACTGACTGACCTCTAAGATCTTGTGATTCTGTTATTTTAACAAGTATACTGAGTCAAAACTGCCTTTTTTTTTTTTCAAGGGGGTTAGGGAAGGGGAAGAAAGAAAACAAGGGCTCTGTGTTGAGTGAAAAAAAAACAGCACCAGCAAATCAACAATGAGATAGGATTAAAATGTCTATTAAAATGCCTCTTCACATCTTCTCCCTTTACCCCTCTCCCTCTTTCCTTCCTCCTCCATGCCCAGTGCTAGATGAGTTCTATGAATCAGCAGAAAGTTTTCCTTTTCCAAAGACCAAATAAGGATTGTGGCCTGCAAGTAGTAATAAGTTGCTGTTGTTGTTGTTTTTTCTTTTAATCTTGCACACGCCCAAGGTGTCACAGTTGGTAAGGAGGGTTTCTAGGACCACAGACAATGTCCGAATCCCTGAAAGATGGAGCCGCAAAGTAGTGACTTCTTAGCTTCAAGTACAGTAAGGCTTTTCTCTGCTTCCAGAGCATAGACTTTGGACAGCCTGAGACTGCATCACCATAATAGGATCATTCTGTTAAGCCCCTATCAGGACATTTTTATTATTTGGGCTGGAAAATAGCAAAATATGTTACTTTGGTCTGCAAGATGTCACCCCTAATCATTTCATTCTCTCTCTCTCTCCCCTTCCTCTCCTGGGCTCTCTGGGTTTTCTTCCCAGCCCACCCACCCCTGGGGGTTTTTGGCAAAGAATGATCTTTTCCTTTTGTGAATATTTGTTATGCATCATGACACTGTTGAGATAATCCACATCCCCTTGTTAGGTTTGAAATGAGCTGGAGGCCATAGGAAAAAGAATTAAAGTTTCCATTTTCTGGGCAGTCTGGCTTCTGGAATGGAGGTGGGAAAGGTCAGAGTTGTCATAGATTCATTGAGTCAAGAGTTAGAAGGGACCTTAGAAATACAGTCCGATTCCCTCGTTTTACAGATGAGGAAATGAAGGCCCAGAGAAAGAAATGACTTGTCCAAACAGGGAATGAGTAGCAGAGCCAGATCCTCTGATTCCAAATCTAGAGCTGGTTTAGTTTCCCAAACTGCCCTCAGAGTTCAGGAACATTGGCTCTGAAAGGGGTGGAATCTAACTCCAGAGATTCCCAGAACAATGCTTCTGGCTTCCCAGTTAGTGAGATGCTGCTGGCTCCTAAACTGCAGATTAAGCTAAAAGTCTGGGTGAGAGACATCAGTGAAATGCCCAAATTAAATCTAGTAACACCTATCCAAGGAGAAAGAGGTAGTCCTGCTGTTCCATGTAGGGGATGAGGACTATCTCATGCCATACCAGAGGTATCAAACACTTGGTGGGCCCTCCCTAGGGCCTGAACCAGATAAAATGTAATTGAGAAGCATTTAAAAAAATTAACAAAAATACAATAGAACACAGATAGTGCTAAAACATGATTTTCCAAGCCAATGTGCCCACCCTATGGATGTGATTCAGTTTTGTGCCCCAGCTTCTATTTGCATTTGACAGCAGTTTTATAGTGCCACAGGGACCAGAAATGGTAAACAAACAAACAAAACCCAAATTATGAAGTTACCCATTAGTAGGTTCTTTTTTCTTTAGTTGAAGCTTTTTTTCCCCCAGTTTACTGACCCTTGTATGTGTATGTATATGTGTATATGTACATATATGTGTATATATGTATGTATATATATTGTATATGTGTGTATATATACATATATGTGTATATGTATATGTGTGCATATACATATATGTGTGTGTTGTGTATTTCTATAGATTTCTATAGATTTCTATATAATATACAGATTATTTATAATATATAATACATGTATAATACATATATACATGTGTGTATATCAATATATGTATATATGAATGCACATGTATATATACACCCACGTGTGTGTTATGTGTGGGAAAGATTGGAAAAGAGATTTACTTAATTTGACTGATATGAAAAACGAACTGGATTGTTTATTGTAGGTAGCCATAACGTTTCTGCTAACTACTGAGGACTTCAGTTTAACATTTTTATTAAGTGCCTACTTTTGAGGTGTATTATAGAGAAGCTCAAAATAAATCAAAATAAATAATTTTTCCTACCCTCAAGTAGGAAGCCTATATTCTATGAGGAGGGTACTACATGTAAACAGCTAAGACCTATCCTTTTAAAGGGCCCGCTCTCCACTTCAGGGGCAAATGATCCATCTGACCCAGTATCCTGTTGCCTAAAAAGACCCCAAGGGATGTAGTCGGACATGATTTTCCTCCCAGACATGGTAATGAGACTCGGATACTTACTAGCTATGTACTATTAGCAAATTTACAGAACTTCTCTGAACTCGTTTCCTCATTATTAAAATAAAAATAATAACCTCCAACTCCTCTAACTTTAGTGCCTTCTCTCTGTTAACTACTTCCTATTTTGTCCTGTATATAACTTGTTTGTACATATTGATTGGTTTGTTGCCTCCCCCATTAAATTGTAAGCTCCTTGAGGGCAGGGACTGTCTTTTGCCCTTTTTTTGTATCCCCAGTGCTCACCACAGTGCCTGGAACATAGTAGGTGCTTAATAAATGTTTATTGATTCATTGATTCATAATAATAATCCCTTGATGCACCTATCTCACCAGGTTGTTGGCAGGATCCAATGAGATGAGGTGGATAAAATGCTATGCAAACCATAACATATTAAATGTGTCATTCTTATTATTATTGTTATATCCCAGCTTTCTTTAGTAGCTATTTCTGATAATTCCATAAATTTATTATCTGTTGTATGAATTAGTGCTAAACTTACCCTGTTCAATAGTCAGAGGGTGACACCTTGTGCTTTGTCCCCTGGAAGAAAAAAAAAAGAAAGAAGGCTCATTTTTAAAAGTTCATATATTTTAATAAGAAAAGACCTTTGATACACCAGTGGTATATTTTTCTCAGTTTTCTCAGCTGTAAAATGGGGATAATAACAGCATCCACCTTGCAGAGTTGTTATGTGCATCAAATGAGATAATGTACTAACAGAAATAAACACAAAGCCTGGCACATAGTAGGCACTATATAAATGCTTGTTGCCTTCTCCTTACCCCACATGTATAATCAGTAGTCAAATATTGTCATGTCTATCTCTACAACATCTCTTGCATCAATCTCCTTTTCTCTACCCCTAAGGCTACCACCCTAGCTCACCCCTCTATCACCTCTCCCCTCTATTAATCCAATAGCTTCCTAATTGATTTCCCTGCCCAAAATCCTTTCACACTCTAATTCACCTTTCTCACAGGGGCCAAAGTAATTTTCATAAAGTAGAAATCTGCTCATGCCAATCCCCTACTCAATCAGCCACAGCTTTTAAAGCCCCTCACCGTGTGGATCCAAGCTACCTTTCCAACTTTATTCTACAGTACTCCTCTTCCCACACTCTGGGGTCCACAGTGTTCTTCCTCCTGCTCCTCACACACAACACTCAGTCTCCCATCTCTGTTCCTAATTCTTCTTCCTCCCACCTCACCTCCACCTCTTACAATCCTTTCTTTCTTCCACAATTTTGCTCAGTCCTCACCTACGTGCCTTTCCTGATTTACCCAGTTGTTAGAGTCCCTTTCCCCCAAATCTTCTTTGTACTTATTTTGCATCTATTTTTATATACATGTTTTCTCCTCCAATAGAATGTAAGCTCCTTGAGGGCAAGGACCATTTCATTCTCTTGGTATCCTCAGGGCCCAACAAATACAGTCTTGACACATTGCAGTCCTTAATAACTTGCTAGTAAAATGTACTGGGTACAAAGGAACAGCAATATTGTAAGATGATCAGCTATAAATGACTTAGCTATTCTTAGAAATACAATGATCCAAGACAACTCTGAAGGACTTAAGATGAAAAATGCTCTCTATTCCCAGAGAAAGAACTGATGGTGTCTGAATACAGATTGAAGCATACTTTTTTTTTACTTTCTTTATTTTTCTCGAGGTTTTTTTTTGTCTATGTTTTCTTTCACAACATGACTATTAGGGAAATGCATGACTTCACATGTATAACCTATATCAAATTGCTTGCCTTCTCGATGAAGCGGTGTAGGGAGAGGGAGGAGGGGAGAGAATTTGGAACTCAAAGTTTTAAAAACAAATGTTAAAAATTGTTTTTAATGTAACTGGGAAAAAATAAAATACTAAATAAAAATTGAAAAAAATAATTTGCTGGTAAATTGACTGATTAAATAATCTTAAATCAATAAAACAGAAGTCCACATATGGTAAATGGTATGAGTAGTGTGTAGCAAGGCCATGAAGCTTCCCCACTGTGTCACAATTGCTTGACCTGCCCTGCCCTCCATCTTCCTGTCCCCTTTTTGCACTCACAGGCTCCTGGAAAAGGTACAGCCAAATCCATCCCTCCCAAATTTTAGTTCTAGTACTTTTTTTAGACTTGGAGAATCTCCAGAGTAATTTGTAAAGCCTGGCCCAGCTGCCATAGAGGAAAGGCAAAGAGAAAGAGGGCTTTAGTACCATTCTGGAGGAATTTCATCTGCAGAAAGAGAGCCAAAGAGCAGGGAGCTATAGGGAAGTAGAGCTCTTGACCTCATCCCCTTCACAAGTTCAGCTCAGAGTAGAATTGTGAGTCCAACGTCTCAGCTAGAGTGGTGAAGTGGGGATGGGGGTAGAGTGGAGACCCACCAGAAAAGGGAAACTCTTTTACTCTTCTATGGGTTTAGGAATGAGTTCTTTCTGTTTAAATAAAATATATATTACTTTAATTCCTTGTGAACCTGAGTGGGAGTTGATGATTACGCTTTAGGGCAATATCAAATACTGAAACTATTCCCAAGTGCCATCTGAGTAGGGTCAAGAGCCATAGAAGTGAGAGGTCTACACAATGACCCAGGCACTGCACATCTAACACAAAGGCTTCAGGTACATAAAAGCAAGTGGTATAAGAGTTCACACTGGTGACACAGCAGAGGGGGAAATCATCCCAAGTACAAGATGATAGCAATTTGTCTGGAAAAGATACAGAGGTCCAAGTGGTCTGTAAGGTCCATGATAGTCAACAGTATGAAATAGTGACCAAAAAAAATCTAATGTTATATTAGTCTGTGTTAAGAGAGAAAAGAGGGTGTCTAGAAAGGATAGTGATGGTATCGTTATGCTCTGCCCTACTTAGATCATTTCTGGAGTATTGTATTCCATTCTGGATGGCACATTTTTTAGGAAGGACAAAAACAAGCTAAAGAGTATCCAAAGAGAGGGTGATTAGGATGGTGAAGGGCCTCAAGTTCATGCCAGATGAGAACTGGTTGAAGGAACCAGAAATTTTTAGCTTGGAAAAGAGAAGACTTAGGGTGGATGTGATAACTGCCTTCAAATATCTGAAAGGCTACCATCTGGAAAAGGGATTTTGGGCCTTAGAGGGCAGAAACAGGAACAATGGGCAGAAGTTTCACAAAGGAAAATAATAGACTTGATGTAAGGAAAAACTCCCTAACAATTAGAGCTCTCCACAAATGGAACCAGCTGTCTCAGCAGGTAGAGGGTTTCTCTCTTCCTAGACTAGGTCTTCAAGCAGAGCCCAGTTGGCCAGTTGGTGGATATGCTGTGGTCAGATATTAGGTGGCCTCGGAGGTCCCTCCACACTCAGATTCTGGAAAATGATCTCACAATTGTTGTTGGTAGTATTGGTTGTTGTTCTCAGAGTCTCCTATATAGGCTTAGTGCTGCCCTCAGTGAAGAAGGTACTGCCAATAAGGATTTAGATATATTTAGATGTAGTTTGATACTGAGATACAGAATCATAGAATGCTAGGGCCAGAAAGGACCTTAGGTATGAGCTAATCTTAACTCCTCATTCTGGGGACAGCTAGGTGGTACAGTGGATAGAGCGTGGAGCTAGGAAGACTATCTTCATGAGTTCAAATCCAGCTTCAGACACTTCCTAGCTGTGTGACCCTGGGCAAGTCACTTAACCCTGTTTGTTTCAGTTCCTCATCTGTAAAATGAGCTGGAGAAGGAGGTGGCTAGTGTCTTTGCCAAGAAAACCCCAAAATGGGGTCACAGAGAGTTAGACACAGCTGAATTAGACTCAGCAACAACAAACTCCTCATTTTACATCTAGAGAAACAGAGATTTCAAGGAGACACTGCTGGGTAGTGGTGTCTTTAAATCCTTCACATTGCCTAATACGGTGCGTGACACAGTGGACACCTTGTAAATGTTTTTCTACTGGTTGATTAGCCGGACAATTCTGATAAAATCTACATTTTCCAAAATTTCCACATTCTACTTTTCCTGAAATATTCACCTCAACTCTTTGCTTCACAAGGGGTATGGGAAAATGCACTGTGGTGTAATAGAATTGGAATCAGGACCCACGTTTGCATTCTAGCCCTACTATTTATCATTCGTATGACCTTAGAAAAGTCACTCATCTCTCTTCATCTGTAAAATGGAATTCATAACTGCCAAACCCATTTCCATTTATCCCTTCTGCCTCAGTGACTCTTTTCGTAGCTCAGTTTTGGTAACGCCATGAGGCAAACATGATGATGTGTAGAAATGGGAAGTCATTGTGATAATCAATCAACAAAAACTGATTAAGTATGCAGAACAAAGCACATTATTTGCTCTCTCTCTTTTTTCTTTTTTTTTTGTTTGTTCCTTCTTTCTCGTGGTTTCTCCCATTGGTTCTAATTCTTCTTTACAACATGATAATGTGAAAATGGGTTCCATATGAATGTATATGTAGAGCCTATATCAAATTGCATGCCGCCTTGGGGTGGGGGGAGGGGAGAGATGGGGAGAAAATTTGGAACTCAAAATCTTATGGAAATGAATGTTGAAAACTAAAAATAAATAAACAAATTTTTTAAAAAAGAATTTATTAAGTGCTTAGAGTATGCCAGGCACTGTACTGTGTACTCTATCATCTCCCACCTCTGGGCCTTTGTACTGGCTGTACCCCCTGCCTTGAATGTTCTCCCTCCTCACTTCCATCGCTTAAAATCCTGGGCTTCCTTCAAGACTTAGCTCAAATGCTCCCTTCTGCCAAAGGCTTTCTCTTTCTAAGTTACCTTCTATCTACTTTTTATCTTTTTTGCATATATTTATCTACTTATGTATATGTTATCTCTTTGAGATAACATATGTATTAGAATGTAAGCTCACTGAGAGCAGGGACTATTTTGCCTTTTTAATTGAGTCCTCAGTTTAACACAGAGTCTAGCACACAGTAAGCACTTAACAAATTCTTGGGGCAGCTAGGTGGTGCAGTGGATAGAGCATTGGCCCTAGAGTCAGGAGGACTTGAGTTCCAATCCGACTTCAAATACTTGACGCTCACTAGCTATATGACTCTAGGCAAGTCACTTAACCCCATTGCCTAGCCCAAAAGAAAAAAAAAAGTAACAAATTCTTGTCGATTGATTGAATTAAGATGGAATCCATACAGTTCATTCAAAGAAGCCTCTAAATTTACCACCCCCAAGAAGCAAACACTCAGGAGGCGTGGCTATTTGACCTCAAAGAGCAGGAATAGATGCATTATGGGATGGAACTCAAGGACTGGATGGGACAAGGAGGAGCTCTTGCTGCATCATGTAAGGAGCTGACAGGTCAGTCTGTGTGTGACTCTCTGTCTCAGGTGGAACCCATCCTGGTAGGCAGGGATGACCTGGATATGACACCAGTTTCCTTCCGTCACTCAACAGGCCACCAGCAGCTGAGCAGAGACCTGGAACGTCTGACACAGCTTTAGCCATGCATGAAGATGAGGCTCAGTGAGTACACACTGACAGGTGACTTTGGCAAATCAGAAGCTCTATCTACCCAGACAAATTCATTGTGGATAGATTTGGCCAAGTCTTCCAAAAATCAGTCCAGTAAAGCAAGGGATCTTAATTTTAGGATCAGATGAGAATTATAGGAACATGGTTTTTTGATGAACTATGATTGCTTGTTTCTCACCTAGCTGCACTACTCTGGGCCCTCTCTGACTCCTCCACCATGCCCCCAGGGAGCTCATTATTGGGAAAACCTCATCATCCCACAAGATCCCATCAACCCTGGGACTCCATGTCATCACTGCCCTCTGCCTCTCTGATTGGAGTGTGGGGCCATGAACTCCAAAACCTCCATTTAAGGAGAGAGCTCATCTCAGACATCTCTTCATTTCTAACCTCGGTTCACTACTTTGGAATTCCTCTGACTTCTCCACCATGCCCCCATGTTGAATGCCTTCTCCCTCTCCTAGCTTTTCAGTTTCCTTTCGTGTGCTGTCTTCCCCTATTAGATTGTAAGCTCCTTGAGGACAGGGACTGTCTTTCTTTTTTCATCTTTGTGTCTCCAGGACTTAGCTCAGTACCTGGCATATAGTAGATAATAAATAAATATTAACTATTGACTCTAGAATTGGAAGAAAACTCAGAGACCATCTAGTCTAAGTGTTCTCAACATTTTTTGCGGCACAGAGACCTTCTAGGGGTGGGGAACCTGCCTTAGACAGTCTGGTGAAGCCTACAAATCCCTTCTCAGGATAATGTTTTTAAATAAATAAAATAAAAGTAGTTGGGATTCCTCAGGAAACCAATTATATTGAAATACAGTTATCAAAATATTTAAATAAACAAGTTCATGGGCCCCAGGTTAAGGATCCCTGATCAGTCCAATCCTTTCATTTGCTTTCCCATGACCAAGCTGCAACAGAGAAGTAGCCACCTACCCATGAGGCCGACAGGTCTAGTGGTCTCCTCCTTCCTTCAGAGGGGAAGAAGTCAAAAGGAACAGAACACGTTAGAAGGCCTGAAAAAGGAGAGGGAATGAGACAGAAACATCAGGGAGAAGAATAGACATTAAGGGAGGTAGTGTGCCTTGGATATCTAAGACGTCCGACTGGATCTCCCCAATGGTGCTCAACACTCAGTTTATTCCTTTCCCCCAGTCCCACATACTTAGCTCACTGCACTCCCACTCCTATATCCCTCTCCAAAGTCTGTAGAAAACAGCAGTAACAGAGATGGAGTGCCCTTGTTGCATTCCAAGGCATGTAGGCGGTGAATGGAGGACAACATGGGCAGAGGTGATAGGGTCAAGGAGAGCTTTCTCAATCCTTGGGTCTGTTCTCTTTCTTGCTCTGACACGTTTGCAGCTGTTCTCTGTTCTTCTTTAGACTTATTCATGTTCCATGAATTACACTCCCACCATCTGAGTCTTTATCCTTGGCTACTGTAATTGTCTGATAAGGAGGGCCTGAAAGAATGTCATCAACTCTTTGGTCCATAGCCTTAAGGGTATTGATGTTTCTCTTTCCTCCTCCTCCTCTCCATTTCCCTTTCTAGATATTCAAAGAACTCAAGGTTCAGCTGGCAGTTTGACCCCTGTCTCCAATCTCCAAACTCTGTAAATATTTCCTTTTTGAGAAACTTGATGCTAAATATGGAAAAGGGAGCTAGATTAGATAATCTCTTCCAACAACGGTGCTTGAGAGGTGGCCACATTGGAGCAGTGGGTCAGCTCTCTGTTGGTTCCCTGTGAAAGTTCTCTGAGAGCCTTTGGGGTCAAAAGCCTTGGCAGGAACTGTAACAGGATGGTTACTGTTCTGCTTATCATTTCTTTGATTTGTAAGGATTACTTCCAGGAAAACAACAGATTGCATTAAGGCTTGGCTGACTGCGTTGTCTGCATTTTCAGTGTTCCAGCTGAGCTCCAGCGGTCAGCACACAGGGGCAGTTCAGGTCAGGACACTATGTAATTCACACAGTTTGACCCCATCCCACAAACCTTTGAACGTTCATTCTAGTGAAATCAGATACGGGTTTTCAGGACAGATTAAAAAATGAATGTTAGATAGGAGTAGTATGCAGTAAATCTAATTTGCCTATGTACCTGTTTGAAAAGGATAATTTGTAGACCAATTCTCCCCTTCCAGATGCTCCTAAATGTATTCTCTGTCCTGTTTGGAAGTCCATGAAAAGGGAAGGAGGGGGTAAAGACTGTAGGGTTGGGATAGGATAGGATGCAGAGGAGGATGTTTCTTTAGTTCTGGGCCTGGAGAAGAAGGACTAGGGCCTTATCAGAATTTTGCTTGGGGCCTGGAATTTAAACTTACTTCACATTCTGGGTTAAGAAATTAGGTTTAAAGGTTTTGTTTTTTTTAAAGGAAATACTTCAAAAGCAGTGTGAGGTGAGTTCCCTTCCCTCCCTTATCCACATCAATAACACCCATACATATACCATCACCTTATACTGTTATAGGTTTTTTGAAGCAAATCAGTTAGCAAAGATATTAGAATAGTATCTTAGTCTGGATTTGAACTCATGAAGTTGAGTCTTCCTGGGTCCAAGACCAATGCTTTAGTTCCTTGAGAGAGATACATTTTTGCCTTTCATTGTATCCCTAGCCCTTCCCACAGTGCCAGGCACATAGGAAGCATTTAATAAATGCATGCAGATGGATTATGTTCAATAATATTTCAATATATTAATATATTACAATTTGTCTATCTGTTACCTGATCATTGGACATCTGCTCTGTGTCCAGTTTTTTATGACTACAAAAAGTGCTATCATGAATATTCTAATATATAAGCATATATATTTGTATGTACACATGTGCATATACCTATGTATATACATGTATGTGTGTTTATAAATTTATAAATGTTTTGTATATAAACTTATATATGTTTTATATCTATGCATATTTAAACTACATAGATAAACTTAATATTTTTGTAAATGTTTAATTTGTGTGTGTATATATATATATATACATACACACACACACATATACACATATAAGGAAGCCAAAGACAGAAAGTTTGTACATGTATGTATACACACATATGCATTTGTGTTCAAGTATATGTAAATGTGTATATATATATATATACATAAGTATATATGGAGGTCAAAGGCAGAAAGCAAGCTTACAAATATGTATGTTAATGACAGAAAGTAAGTTTACATATATGTATACACACATATATGCATGTGTATGTAAACTTGCTTTCTGTCTTTGACCTCCATAGGGTATAATCCCGTGTGACATTTAGATCCCTGGGTCAAAGAGGTAATCCTCTTTCCAAAAGAATAAGGAAAATATGGGCCTAACCTGCAGTATCCAATGAAGACTTCAAAATAGATACCCATAAATTTCCACAGTTATTCAATGCCTCACATTTTTGTATTTCTGTAGCAGCTAGGTGGCACAGTGGACAGAGTGCTGCGCATAGAGTAAGGAAGACTTGAGTTCAAATCCAGCCTCAAGACATTTCCTAGCTGTGTGACCCTGGGCAAGTCACTTAACCCTGTTTGTCTCAGTTTCCTCAGTTTCCTGTAAAATGAGCTAGAGAAGGAAATGGCATACCATTCCAGTATCTTTGCCAAGAAAACTCCAAAAAGGGGTCAGGAAGAATTGAACACAACTGAAAAATGACTAAACAACAAAAAGTTCTGCAGATGCTGCTTCTCTTGGATGCCTAGATCTAAGACTCTCTTTAAGGATTCTCCATTTCCTCATCTATAAAATGAGGTCATTGCACTAAACGACTTCTAAGGTTCTTTCTATTATCCCATGAGCTGTGATTTCAGGCTGTCTGGGTCCTAGGAGGTACTCCATCTCCTGACACAGCCACTTTGTCCTCTCCTTGTCTTTCAGAGTTGCTGTCACCAAAAACTCATTGTTTTGCGGCAAGGCTTCTGATGTGCCTCCCTGGCATCAGCTAGACTGTTCTTCAGATGATGGATGCAGGGTCCATCACAAGGCCTATCCTTGAAGGCTTTCTAGCTGGCAAGGACTTAGTGGTGGTACACTGGAATAACCTTTGAGAAACTAGGATACCTCCATAACTCAATGAGTTATCAAGCATTTACTAAGCACCCACCATGTGCCAATCACTGGAGAGACAATAACAAAAATAAAGTAGTTCTTGCCCTTAAGGAGTTTACATTCTATCAGGGTTGGCAACAATTATATAAATATATATATATACACACACACACATATATACATACATACACATATAACTAGAGAACTTGGGACGTGGGAGTGTATTCTAGGCATGGGGGACAGCCAGTTCAAAGGCGTGGAGAGGGGAGAGTGTGAAGGACAGTAAGAGGTCAGTTTGGCTGGACCTTAGAGTGTCGGAAGGGGAGCAGCGTAATAAAGTTGAAAACTGTGGGGACAGAGCAAACAGGACGGGGTGGGGAGGGAAGAAGAAAGGGGGAGAGAGATGGAGGGAGGAAAGGAGGAAGGGAGATGGAGAGGGAGAGAGAGAGAGAGAGAGGTTCAATTCCAGGAGCCATAATAATTCATCCATTCCTATATTTTGTCATGCTATTTCCCCCTCCTGGCATGTATATTCTGTGTCTATACATATCTGCTTCTCAGTTTTCCCTGTGACTTCGGAGAGTTCATTTTACCTCTGGGTCCTCCATGAGGAGGATGGAAGAGAAAATTAGACAGAGTGTCAGAAACTCTATAAATATAGAGATGGAAGGATAAGGTAGCTTTTGAACTGGGAAAAGAGCACCTGGGGGGAGGGGGAGGAGAGGTGTAGCTGAAGAGTAACCCAAGTGTCAGATGAGGTATTTTCTCTCTTGATCTGGATAAGCAGAGCAGAGCTCACCACAGGAACTGAGAGGCAGTTGGGGCTGGCCAAGAGAAGGGGAGAGTATCTAAGCTCAGTCGTTAGCTTTACCAACAAGCCAGGCAGCAGCCTCCTTCCTGGGTCCCCACCCGGCCAGTACATTGTGTTAAATTTTCAAAATAAGGCTCAGATTTTATTTTTCTTAGCTAGTGGGGGGTGGGGGTAGAGTTAGAGGTGACAAGGAAGGAAAAGGTAAGCCCTAAACGTAGCATTCACTCACAGGGCCACTTGTTCTTGCCAGAAGGAGGCCTAAATGAAGCTTTTCTTCCTCCCCCTTCTTCTTTTCCCATGTAGACACCCCATTCCCCTGGGCCCACTCTCCCCAGAGGGGGCCCCTCAAAATGGCCTTTCTTCCACACTCCATCTGCTTGTCTCTGACACTCAAAGTGTGTTTCAAGCCTCATTCTCTCATCTTCAGCATTTTCAGGCAACCAATCTGAGGAGCGAATGGCTCATCGGCTAATTCATGGTATTTAGATTCTAACTCACTGAGAGACCTAATGATTTGCTGATGGAGAAGCAGTTTGGAAGCAGTGGGTCTTCTGCTAGAGCCCCTCCAATCACATCTAAGTGGTTGCCTAGTCTTAGGGAAAGGGCAGGGAAATCAGAAGTCATCAAGGAGTGTTCTGAGTGTGTCCAGATGGCATGGATCAGAATATGTCTTGATGGGACTGAGAAAGCTACTCTCTTGTCAGCAGAAGCTGCAGAATTCAGCTGCAAAAGTTAGAAAATTCCCAACTCCTTTGTTACCGTTGGAAGGGCATACCCTTTTAGCTGGTTTCCAATGAGAGAGATAGGTACTGATCTAATCACACTCTCTTTGCCAGTCCACTTGTCACCCATGGTACAATTCATGAGATACAAGGTCAAATGCAGGAATTTTATACAGATGTAGCATCAGAAGTAGTTCCCAGGCACATTAAAAAATGCCCAGCATGTGGCCAACTTAGAACATTTTAGAATTTGCAAAAATGGCTCTTACAGCCTAATTGGTTGTGACATCTCCTCTAAAGGGACTAAGGCTGATTGACACCTTAGCCAGCCGGTGATAGATGGAAGATACAGAAACTGAAGGCTGCTGAACTGAAGGCCTCCTCTGTTGATTCAAGACAAAAAGGTCCCAGAAAGCTCAGAGTGTTGGCTGCTACTTCA